ATATATATATATATATATATATATATATATATATATGATTGAGTACACAAATGTAGGGGTGTTCAAAAAAATCAAAAGAACCGAACTGGATTTAAAACTGTACTGGACCATTTTAAAAAAACTAGAACTAATTGTAAAAAAAATTGAGCTAGATATATATTTTTAATATAATTTTAAAAATTTAACCTATTTTTTAAGGGGGTCGGTTCACTTAAAAAAAATCAATTTATAATGTCACGGAAATATAATAAGTTCGTAATCGGTCTCTACACCTCCACGTTATACTCATTCTCAATTGGACAATTCTTGTTTATATGTTTAGTAAAGATACCAGGATTTAAAAAAAATTCTTTTGGGCTAAATTTTTAGCAAAAAATCTAGAAACTAAAAGAGCCTTTATTTCGTGCAATTTTTTTTTTGTAGTGTATTATAGTTTTGCAATTGCATTATGAATTTAGGGAACACTAAACAAGAAATACCAATTAGTAGAACTACAGTACTGCACTTGTACTATATTATGATAGTTTTGCAATTGGATTTTTTTAGCAGAAAAAAAATATAGGTTTTGAAATTGGTTTAATATAAGAAAAGTCAATAAACTAGTTTCTGATGTTTATATAGAAGAAAGAATATAGGAAAATTAATTGTTTAAAACGGGTACATTTCTTAAAATCGGTTAAAATTAGTTTATTTCTTAAAATCAGTTTTAAAAATTGGTTTGGTTTTGAAACTGGTTTTAAACCGATTATAAACCTATTTATTAAAATAATTCAGTTTTAAACCGATTTATTAAAGTGGTTCAAATGGTTTATAAACTGGTTCAATTTAATAAAATGGTGTGGTTCAGTTCAATGTGATTTTTTGGAAAAACCAAACCATGCACACCCCTACACAAATATATATGATTTGATAAATATAAGCTCTGATTAATTGAATAATTGTGTTAAAATGATATATGATCTATTTAAACATATTAAGAATACTTGCTCTAAATGTATTAATTTGTGTTGATAAGAAATATCTTGAATACTACTTATTTGTCTAATAATTGAAATCTACTAGATTTGTTGTGCGTAACATTTTTTCTTTTCAAAAATGTGTTTCTCATTATCAAAAAAGGGAGATTGTTTGATCAAAAGATAATCTTGGATCCCTTAGGGCATATGTTTCAATGATAAGAAACTTAGATGTTTTTCAAATAAAACTTTTTCAGATCATATTGTAAGATGAATCAATATATATGATTGATTATGATGATGCGTAGTCTCTAAGATAAACTATATTGTTTATAAGACGAATGCATTTATTATGTATCATTTATGATGTCTGATAACCAAATTGCATTTGTCTATGATATTCCTTAACATATCGAAAAGAATAAAAAGCTCCTTTGGTACTCACACTTCAAAAAGAAACAAAGACATGCTTTGTATTAGAGAAAAGACAAACAAATCCCTTGAAGCATATGAGATATCATAAAAAGTCATTATTGATTGACACATGCAACAGTTCATTCTACTTGGTACCAAAAAGGTGAAAAGTTGCCTCATTGATTTGATAAGAAGTGACAATTTGTTGAAATACATTTAATGCTCACAATGGACATTTCTTCTCACAAGGAAGACGAGGACAGACAAAGTAAGTCTGTGAGAAATATTCAAGGATTTGCAATAGTCATCTTGATGAAACATTTATATAAAGAAGCTTGAAGATTCAAAAAAGAAGAGAGAACAACTTTTGTAAAAAAATCATCTTCATTCTTTTTTGTAAAAGGCTCTATACTTAATTTAGTTGTATCACCTCTTGATAGTAAGACAAAACTTTGTGTTATTACTTGAAGCCGGGAAAGGTTTTGTTCTTAAAGAATACTTGGTTGTTTAAGTTTGAAGAGACTTCATTATTCAAAGAATAATTGGATAGTTTTTTAAAGAGGCAAGTCAAAGAATACTTAGGTTGAGCCAGAAGTGACTTGTGAAAAAATACTTATATCTTTGTAAAAGATAGTGAAACTTGATAAGATTGATTAAGAACTAGACAAAATTTCAGTGGTTGAAACGAGTCAGTATAAAAATACATTGTGTTATTTTCTCTTAACTTTTCGTCTACATTGGTAAGGTCTTTGATACTACTTCACTATTTCAAAAAGTGTTGGATTTTTTATTGACACTATTTAACTTCTTAGTATCTATCTTTTCTCCATAATTGATATATACAACTAGTATTTTAGCTTGTATAATGTAGAGATTAAATGTTTATCGTATATAACTAAAATTTGAAATAAATTATGTACATAAATAAGTATTATGTTTGAATATATAAACTATATTTAAATTTTAAATAAATAAAATATTTCTAAATATATAAATTATATTTTAGATTTATGATATATAGTAGCACTAATGTTTTTTTATTTACCAATAATTTATTTTAAAATATTAAAATTTAATTTATAAATAATTATAATAAATATAAACTAACTTAGATATATGAAGTTAAGAGAATTCCTAAATACCTTATTGTTAAAGAAAAATTTCTAAAAATACTCTTATATTATGTTATATATATATGGATTGATTAATTAATGGTTAAAATAATATTATTGGTCTCTTTATTTTAAAATAGAGATATTTAGCCTCTCTAATTTTAAAAATACAGAATTTTGGTCTTTTATTAAATCGACATCTATTAATCGTTAAATTTTAGTATTTATTCATGTTTAAGTGACATAATATTTAATAAAATAACATTTAGTAATAAAAAAAACTAAAATAAATATAAATAAAATTTATTAATAAAATAAATACCAATTACTCTTTAAAGTAGATATAATTTTTATTTTATTTTATATGTCACGTCTCTAATTATCGCATTCACATTATTTAAGTTGTGATAAATCATCAAATAATGTCAAAATCTAAAAATCAATAAATATTAAATTGATAGTAAGATCAAATTTTCATATTTTTAAAAATAAAAAATTAAATATCTCTATTTAAAATAAAGAAAACAAATTTATATATTAATAAAATACAAAAAAAAATACAATTTAACCTTAATTAATTTAATTTTTAATTTCATGTTTTTTCAATTATAGTCATACTATATAAATTTTTATTAAGTTGAATTGAACTTTCACTTTCATGTTAAATTAAAATTGGTTTGAAATTAGTGCTATATATATGTCATTTCCCCAACCATCGTCTTTTAACAACACGTACACACACTATAATATATACAAGGTAGCATACAATTACAAATACTGAAATAAAATCAAATATAAATAAATATTCTGGGCAAAGGGTCCTTCGTTGTTCTTCCTCCGCCTCAGCTACAAGCACAAGCAAGCAACGCAACTTTCAACTTTTCTTCTTTCTCCAAACCCAATAGCGTTTCAGGTACCCTCTTAATTGCTTCACCCATTTCACTGCAATCTTTATTTTTTCTACACTCTCGTGTATCGCTAACTAAGCTACCCATGCTTATGTTCGTGCATAAGATCCCCTCGATAAAAGTGTCTTAAACTAATACTTGTTGTTGCACGCTGCCTATTATTGATTTCGGTGAAAACTGAGTGGTAAATTGATGAGTGAGGCTTGTGGCACGTTGTTCGGTTCTGCTACCACTGCACACTATGTGTTTGATAAAAAGCTTGGTGGGCTATGTATTGTTTGTTGTAGTGAATCAATTTTCTTTCTAGATTTCTGCAGATTCCTGCACAGTCTTTTGCCACTCATATTAAGACAATAGGTCATTGTTTCTTCGACTTGATGGGTGAAGCTAAAGTTAAATGCTTTATGATTTATTTGGTCTCAGTTGAGGTTGCTGAAATTTTGTAATTTTCTAATTGATGGTGGTTGTTGACTATCACCAATGGGTTCTGGCTACCTCTTACCACTTTATTAAGCTTTGAGTCGTTTTGCTAGATGGGAAGAGGTTTTGACTTGGTAGGTTTGGATGACATTGTATGTTTCATTGTGTTTGAGTTTCTCACTTGAGAATTCAGGGAAGGGGATTTGGATCTAGGTGATTTTTAACAAGACACAGAGAAGAGGGTTAGCTGATCTTCTGACTAACTGAATTTTAGTTTGCTGCAGTTCTTTTGTCTAGGGTTTATAGTTGGGATTTTATTTGTGTTCATACTTTTTCTTTTACATTTGATAGAATCTGTGAATGTGACAGTTCGTTTACAATTTCAGATTTTGAGTCTATCAATTTACATATTTTCCAGCTCATTCTCTTGTAAACAATTCTCTAGTAAGAATGAATAACTAATTATCTATTCGTGATGCATTAAGACGCATCCTATTTAGTTAGCAATCCTATTATGCTCTCTGTTTCTCTTTTTCATTTAATTGTAAAAAACGTTAACAGTAAAAAGGAGTGGGTGGATGATAGATAACTAGATAACATAATCATTGGTGAATAAGTTATATTTTCTCTCCTCAGGTCTAATCTACATTGCAAGGGGAGGGGAGGGGAAAGGTCAGACTTAATGTGAGACAGCATGTTATAGAAAAAGCATATTCTTAGAACTTTAAATTTCACAGTTTTGGTATGGTTTGTTAGTGGTGGTCAATGACAGATTGGTCTTTGGTCCCTACTCCCTAAAGCCTAAAAAGGAGGTAGCATGTTGATGTTTTGTTATAAAATACACTGTTATAATGTTATATATTCATTTACTTTATGCATGGAACACATGCTTGGATATGAAGTCTTTAATGTCCACTATAAAAATGTATACTCCAAAACTTTGGCACAATTCTTTCACATTTTGAAAATAATAATTAACTGCATTCTTTCTAGTATTTACTTATATCTGCGAACCAACAAGGTGTGACTTAATTGGTAGATAACTTTGTCCTTTGAGCAAGTGATCAGAGGTTTGATCCCTAGATCCGTCTGTATCGAACAAAATCTGTTAAGAAATGTCATTCCCTAAAACAGATCTCAGTATCAAAGGATTAATGTTTGGTTTCTGGCTAAGGAATACCCTAGTTCAAAAAGAAAAAGGTGAAAAACCCAGTGGATATATATCAATTTGTTAATCATGAATTATTTTGTATGGGACTAATAGCTAAGAAGCTCAGACAGGGTTCAACACAAAAGTTTAAGGTGTCTCATTAGAATTTTAAATGTTTTGACATTGATTTATATTTTTTAATTGTCCATGCTTCCTGGGCAAACTTCTTGGTCCATCTCTGCCTCACCAATAAATTAAGTCTTCTATTAGAATTTTTTATTTCCTGAGATGCTCACAGACATAGTTCTTCTTTTTTAGTAGGGTGTGTTTAGATGGTCAATGCTTCATTGTTATTAGACATAAATCCTCTCATAACTTGGATTTGTGCTTTCACTTATCATCTGAGTATGCTGGAATTTTGTTGCTAATACTGTGTAGAAAATTTTATGCCAGAGTGAAAACCATTTTGTTGCAAATAATTATCTAGAATAAGAGCAGAGAGGGCTAAATTCTAACCACTTGGTGGAAGATTCTTTTTAGTACATGTCAAGAGCTGAAGTTGCTAGGTTAGGCACAAAAATAGTTTTTTTTCTTCTTTAATAAATAGGATTTTCTAATTTCTATAATTAAAAACGGAGCTGAGGTCAGCCTAGCTATATAGTTATTGATTCTAGTTATTCTGATTTCTGAACATCATTCTGGTCTGATGCTCTAAGTAATTTAGCAAGTTTGCCACTTGCCAATATATGTGAATATAACTGCTCACTATAGCAATTTAAATAATCCTGAGAGAAGTAGAAACCATCTTTTAAATGCATAATTTTTTTAAAAAAATTGAGTTAGAAAAATTATATGAAAGACAACATGGAAAATAATTAGGCCCAACCTAACTTTTATCAGCTTATCACTTGAACTAGATAGATCCTCCTCGTTACCTTGTCCCACAAACCTCTATTTAGAAGCTGTGGACCAATCAACTTATTTTTGGATAATAACAAGACAGTCACTAATAACAATGAATAAAATGCTCTTTGATTGGGGTCTCAGACTGAGGCTTGACCATTTGGACTGAAGGAACCTTAGATTGAGTAACATGTTGGAAATATGAAAATCACTTGTTGATAGTCAATAGTTGTGCATTGTTCTGCATTGTTTCGTGAGTTCCTAAATGTGATCAATATGTAAAAATGTGCTCTGTTCTCTTCCCTAGTTTAGTTTGGGGATGCATTACCTGTGAGGCTTTGTCTTATTGTATTTTATACAGTAATCAAAAACTGGGTTTATAATTGGATTTTTTTTTATAAAAAAAGTTTAAAATTTGTATTTATTAATGAATTTTGTATCAAAGAACTTCTTTTTTTCTGTACCAAAATAAGGAACGTATTGGTTTTGACCAAACTGATTTTGAAAAGTAATGGGTTGATTTTGAAATCCAATCCTATAATTGGTTTACAAGATTTGGTTTGGTTTTATGCCAAACCTATTCATATTCATGCACATCCCTATCTATAAAGCCAATGATATTTGGGCTTTTTTATTCTTGGATGCTTTTTTTGTGGTTTTATTATACACCGTCAGCACTTTTGCAGTTGTGTTTCTTTTAACACATGACAAATTGGCAATTACATTTAATTTTTTCTGTACAGCTGTTTTATTTATGTTTGTAATGATGATTATTTGAATTTGATTTTGCAGTTCAAAATTTTCAAGTATTGTTTTTTTATCCTTTTAGGTTGGGTAGGAATCATGGAAGTGGAGAAGGAAAATACCACATCGACTATTACTGAAGAACCTTCAATACCTGCCTCTGATGGTCAAGACCTTGTTTCTTCCGTTAATACATCTCTACCCCATTCCATACAACCTGTTATTCCACCAGTTATTGCACCTTCTGTTGTACCTCCTTTAGCTCCAATTCCTGCAATTCCTCCCCCTCGCCCGCTGGCACCGCTTCCGGTTCGGCCACCAGTCATTAGGCCACCTGTGCCACAAAATGGCGAGGTTGGATCAAGTGATTCTGATTCAGACAATGATGACTCAAATACGAGAATTAACAAAGGGCCTGGGGAATATGAGATATCCGAAGAGAGTAGACTGGTTAGAGAGCGGCAGGAAAAGGCAATGCAGGAACTCATGATGAAGAGGCGTGCTGCTGCTCTTGCTGTTCCTACAAATGATATGGCTGTGCGAGCTCGGCTTCGCCATCTTGGGGAGCCAATAACTCTGTTTGGTGAGAGGGAGATGGAGAGACGGGACAGGTTGCGAATGATTATGGCGAAGCTGGATGCAGAAGGTCAGCTGGAGAAGCTGATGAAAGCTCATGAGGATGAAGAGGCTGCAGCTTCTGCTCCAAAAGACGAGGCCGAGGAAGAACTGCAGTATCCTTTTTACACTGAAGGGTCAAAGGCTCTCCTGGATGCCAGAATTTATATTGCTAAATATTCTTTGGCAAGGGCAGCATTACGGATTCAACGTGCACAGAGAAGAAGGGATGATCCAGATGAAGATATGGATGCAGAGATGGATTGGGCATTGAAGCAGGCTGGGAATTTGAGTCTTGAATTCAGTGAAATTGGAGATGATCGGCCGCTTTCTGGTTGCTCCTTCTCGAGGGATGGAAAATGGCTTGCTACCTGGTATGTTTGTTGTTGCTAGTTGTGGGGCTCAAGCCTTACTTTTTACCTTAACTTGCCTTGTCAAACCATTTTAATCTACTACTGATTGTTTTGATTTTGTAGTTCTTTGACCGGAGCTTCCAAGTTGTGGAGCATGCCCAAAATAAAAAAACATTCCACCATTAAGGGGCACACAGAGCGTGCTACTGATGTTGCTTATTCTCCTACTCACGATCATTTAGCAACTGCCTCTGCTGATCGAACAGCAAAGTATTGGAATGATCAAGGATCTCTTTTGAAGACATTTGAAGGTCATCTAGACCGTCTTGCTCGCATTGCCTTCCATCCATCAGGGAAGTACCTGGGCACTGCTAGCTTTGACAAGACATGGAGATTATGGGACATAGAAACAGGAGACGAGTTGCTTCTTCAAGAAGGCCATAGTAGAAGTGTATATGGTTTGGCTTTTCACCGTGATGGATCATTAGCTGCATCTTGTGGACTAGACGCTCTGGCTCGTGTTTGGGACCTCCGAACTGGAAGAAGTATACTTGCACTGGAAGGTCATGTCAAGCCGGTAAGACATTAAAGACCACGCCCTGCTCTCTTTCTCACTCAGGATCATGATTTTACACTAGACATTTCATAAGGCTGATTATGATTGTTATTCATTTTAAGGTTCTCGGCGTCAGTTTTTCACCTAACGGATATCATCTAGCTACGGGTGGTGAAGACAACACTTGTCGGATTTGGGATTTGAGGAAGAAGAAATCCTTTTATACTATTCCTGCTCACGCTAATTTAATATCACAAGTTAAATTTGAGCCACAAGAAGGTTACTTTTTAGTAACTGCCTCATATGACATGACTGCTAAGGTATATATTCTATTTCTACCTAAAACAACATTTTGTTCGAGAGAAATTTTAGGATTCTTTATTTTCGTTTCAGTATATTTATTTATATTTATGTTTTAACTGCAGGTTTGGTCAGGCCGTGACTTTAAGCCTGTGAAGACACTATCTGGGCATGAAGCAAAAGTTACTTCTGTGGATGTTCTTGCAGGTAGGATTTTGATTAGAAAGGAATTACTCATCCATCACTCAGATTCCAAAATCATTTTTCTTTTTTATGTGCTATTTTATTGTGTGATTGATGTGTCAGTTCCACTACACCAGTGTCCTTTCCTCAAATGTCAAACCGTAGATGATGAATTAACAAGTAACTAGTGAGTGTGTTGATAGGCTAATGCTATATCTGGATAGTTTGTTGTAATGGATTGATAAAACAAATGATGCGTGGCATTTAGTTTTATGGGTACATGCTATGCCCAATTTTCAATCACCAGTACAAACCAACGTAGTGGGTTAGAAATGTCACGAATTTCATGGAAAATTCAATGAAACTCTAAAATTGCAAACCTAGTTTAAGCTTTGCTGAGATGATGTAATCGAGCTGGGGGCATTTGTTATGTGCTTATATTTTTCCTCTGCATTCATTTCCTTCTTACAAGCCATGGATAAGATGTGCTGCCTGAATTAAAGGAAATGAAAGACGACGACTTCATCAAATTTAATGTTCATATATAATTGCCTTTTCATATGGTATACAAGCTTTTGAACCTTATGAGTCATTTGAAAATGTATGGTGCAAGTCTTGAGAATAAATGTTTTCGAAACATGTCTGCACGGTAGGACTATAAGTGTGCTTTGAAGGTTAATGTATGAGAAAATAGGTGATACATTGCAATGTTAAGTAGTTTTATACTGTCATCTAATCACAAACGACTATTTATGATAATTTGTTAATTTTTATAATAAATAAGTAAAAAATCATACTAACAGTAGTATCTAATTGATTGGTTGTGCAAAACTATTTATATTATTAGAACATCACCATTAAACTCTATATATATCTCTTTTATAATTTCCTGTAACAGTGTGAAAAACAGTCCAGTAACCTATCCATAGCCTAGCAATTTGCATTATTGGTTATGTCAAATATTACTTTTGTCTATCGAGTCATGCTCTTCTGATTTTAGCATTATTGTTGTTATATTGGTTGCAGATGGCGGGTATATCGTTACTGCCTCCCATGATCGCACCATAAAACTGTGGTCCAGCAATACGACAAATGAACAACAAGCTATGGATGTTGACTAGGTTATTTTGATGGGATGCTATTTCTGAAAGACTCGGTGGTGCAAATTAGATTCATCATTTTTGTTAGAAACAACAACGTAGCATGACTCCGCTTGGATTTTTAGCAATTATACATTACATTGAAAAGATGTTTGCCGCTGAATGCTTCACTAATCTAGTCTGAACTATTAACTTTCTCAGTTGATGTAGAATTAGTAAATATCACTTAATTTTCATGTAGCATCCTGCTTTGCTGCTGCTTCGGCATTTCCCCCCCTTTTTTGTGTTATTTACCAGTAAAAAGACTAAACCAATATGCATAGAATGGGAATCCTTTCAAAACTCATGGTTGAACTAAAAGCATTAAACCTATGGAGAGAGGAGAAAAGAATAGAAAAAGAAAAAAAATAAAAGAGAAAGAAAGAAGAAAAGAAAACTCTCCTAGAGCTAAAGCTTCAAAGGTTAAAAGTAGAAGAAAAGATCTTGAGATACAAAAGCAAGTATGGTAGTAGTTATTCTAGTAGTTCATCCAGGAACAAAAGTGAACAAAGTGATGTCCTCAACATAGATGACTACTACCATAATGAGCTAAGGAATCGTAAGCCTCGGAAAGAGAGGTACCATAAAGAGGAAGGGTATTCTTCAAAGAATTACCCTAAGAGTGAGCCATCTAAGGAGAAAAGAGAGAAAAACAAACCCTCACAAGAAAAAGAAAACCCCTACGTTAGTTATAGGACAAGTTGCATGGAGTATTTTAAGTGTTTGGGGGAGAAGTCACATTGTTTTTCAATGTCTCGCCAAGAATACCATGATAGTAAGGGGCATAGATCAATATAGTAGTCCAAAGGAGACTACATCTTCTTCCTCCACATCTAGTGGTAGTGAAGAAAAAGGTTCCCTCTATTAGTGAAAAATCTCCTTTAAATAAAATAAAAAAAATATAGTTTAATTTTAGATATAATAAAAAGGATTCAAGAGGATCCCAATAAAATAAAAGTCCTAAAGAATTGGTCTATCACACACACAAAGACGATAAATAGGCTAAGTCTCTTAAATCATCAAGAAAATAATACTTCTAATACTTGTAATTCATTATCTTTTGTACGTGTTTAAAAAATAGAAGAAGAGACTTAAGATTTGGGGACAAATCCTCTTGAAGAGAAAAGGGATGATGAAATTATGCTTAGCCAAGTTCAAGCTTTTATTGAGTTTAAGTTACTTTTAATAGTCTACTTTCTCTTATTTATTTTTGCTTGTAAATATTTTCTCAATTCTATCATTGTATTTTTGGATCAAATAATGTAAGAATTTATGCTCTTGTAATTTTCTTCTTAGGAGGTGTATATAGTAATTTAGAGGGGTGCAACTAGTATTTGAATATGCGTTTAATGGGCTTGCTTGAACCATAAGAGAGAGGGGTGTGGTGGCCTAGAAAATAGAGGTCCACTTTCCTCACATATCCATCTCATTAGTTCAAACAAACTCACCAAGTCACATGTTTCATATGCTAGTCAAATTTTTTGCATGCCTACTTCTACACTCTTTTTTCTATTGACACACTTCCATCACACCTTTTGAACCTTGTCATGTGACAAACTCTCATTTGCTCCTTTAGGTATAAGATAAACACATTTTTAGGAGGAAAATTCAAATTTAAATTTCAACTAAAGTTAATTAATTTGAGTACAAGTTAACCTAATTTCATATTCATTATATTTTTATGAAAAATAAATAGAGGAACTTAATGCATCAATCCCACTAGTTTGTATAATTATGAAACTTGAAAACTAAAACCACACAATTGTGAGTGATACTTTGAGAATTAAGGTTGCTCAATTAAAAATAAGAAGACAAAAATTGCATAACTACAATACTTGAAAGATATAAATTACTCAATTAAAATTTAAAAGTCTAAAATCGTAAAATTATTATACTTGAGAAACTAAAAATGCATTTGTCTAAATTTTTTAAAAACCCGTGAATAAGTACTTCATGCTTACATACAATATTAAGAAATAGGTTCTAAGTATGTATATATATTTTTAAATAATAGATGATAGAACATTGAAACATGCTCGATAGAAAAAACCTAAGTTAAATTCCATTTACCTTGTATGTCATTATTCCAATCCTTTGTAAGAATTACATGTAATATCGAACTTATAAAATGAATTGGATTCATTGTTGCTTGCTTCACCTTAACTGTTATCTTAACAAATAAAGTCATGTCTTAGGGGAGTGACATTTCTCTTCAACATGTCTATGAAATTCGGAAAAATTCAAACATCTCATAAATAAAGGGTTAGGAATTTATTGAACCATCCACACTCTTTCGTGGAGAAACTTGAACTTAATTCCTATAGTGATGAATATAAGTGCAATTAAAATTCTTTTCATACAACAGTAATAATAAAAAAAATTATCTTGTTAAGGCTGGTATACAAAAGGTTAGTAATTCAAGGTCACCAAAAGAAATTCAATTGGTGGTATATTTCTTTAAGTTAATAGTCAGTACACAACGTTGAGATAACGAAAGAAATTCCTTCCCCACCAAAACCTATGCCTATGCTCACACTATGTTTTTCTACAAAAATGAGGATTATACAACAAATTCAGCCACTCCCATGGTTCTCATCCATATTTTTCTTTCATCCACTTCGTGCTTCATTTGTACCAACCAGCAAGGAAATACCTCAGCATGAAACAGAAACAGCACGCAATAGCCTGTTCAAAAGGAAAAGAAAACCAGATCAATGTTGTAAAAAATTCTAACCAGAATAGTAGTTTCTGGTACATATTGAGGTTGTCTCTTTTGATACTATAACCAATGATTAATATCCTGCACTTTTTTCCTCTAAACGGTATTATAGGAGTCAAATTCAACAAAATAAAGCAAGTTTATTATGAGCCTGTTTGGATAAGTTTTTCTAGAAACACTTCTAGGAAAAAAAAATTAAAATTAAAATTAAAATAAGTTTTTCCATAAGCTAAAACTAGATTATGCATGAGTTAAAAATAAGATTTTGGAAAAACTAATAGAAGAGAGTTTCTACAAATTAATTTATGCATAAACTAATTTCAGTTTATGGAGTTTATTTCATCTTTCTTCTTATTTTAACCTCCTAGAAGTGCTACTGAAAAAGTTTACCCAAACATGACCTATATAGAAAAAAATAATGCAGGCTATAAGAATAAAAAAGAGGTGGGAATCACCTGGAAAGCGAGAAGATAAATACAAAGTGCCTTTTCGGATTTCCGGCCTAAATTTCTTAAGAAGAAGTTGACAAGTGTTCCATCATTTGTCCCAGTCAGTAGCCCAGTTTGAGGGTCAAACCTGAATGAGTACAAGGTACATGAGGTTTCAACCAAACAAGTACATGCAAAATGCAAGATGTCTGAAACAATCATTAGAACACATATATCAATGCCTACCTTGGAAGACGATGACGTGGGCACGGAATATACCCAGAAAGCTGGAGGAAAACATATTTTATGTCACAATGCTCAGAAGAGTTTTAAATTATCACAAATTTAAAATGTGAATTGGAAAGATTCTGTTAGTCTCAAACCTGGGGGAGTGACAGTAGAAAGTTCAAGACTTGCGGTAGGAAGAAAATCAAGAGTGTTTCACTGAAGCAAAAAATTATTACCAGGAAATCAAAATCACAGAAGACAAGTTCACAAACATAGTGGAATGGATTCACACAAATGAGCTAACAGTTAACAATGTACTATTATTGTTTTTCTCTAATCAAGGATTCAACATAAGATCCTAGTAGATGGTTAATCTGGTCTACTACTAAAAGCTAACATTTGAATGTTGAAATGGCTCAGAAAGTCATTATTAGAAGCTTTCTATTCTTTAACACTTTATTCAAGAACCATGTCTATTTATAAATATATTACAGAAGAAGGAAAAGATTTCATTTCAGGAGGAGTCCTTGGGGAAAAAAGAAATAGTTATTTACTACGGTGGAAAGCAATATTCCTTGAGGATGAATATAAACCTCTCACAGTTGGAAGGTTATTAACACAAGATCTACGTTTTATTGTTATGGTTGAGATCAAAATTCTATGGTCCATTTGTTTGCAGTTTAGGTATCATGGAGCTACCGTTCAAAGTGAAAAATGGTAGATTTTCTTACAAAATGCAGCAAAATATTCACCAAATTACTTTTAATGAAGTGGAAAGGTTGAAGTGAGACCAGAAACGGGAATCATTAGCAACTTATGAAAATGACGATTGACCATTATAATTGTCTCTATGATTGATCCTTTAGAACAGAAAGCAAGACTGGAGGTGCAAATTTAGAGTCCCCTATATATCTATACCTAGTTTGCACCAAAAACAAATAGACTAACCAAATTAAGATTATTTTTTGATAAAAGTAAGGATTTACCTAAAATGGCCTAAAATACCAATCACAGCCATAGTCATCCCAGCAAAGTAAGTATATGTATCACCAACAAAAACTGAAGAGGGATACCTAGAAATAGAAGAACAGACTGTTAGTAAAACTAGTCTTGATCACTTGAAAATGGTTCTCAAACAAAATGAGAATGATAATCAGTGGATACCAGTTGTAAGAAAGTAAAGCCAAAGAGGTAGCTAGCAAGGGCTGAACTAAGTAAATAGAGAATGCATGTGCTTGCTTATATTCAGGATCAGTTGATGCTCCAATTTGCATAATATTGTGTATCAGGATCTGTACATCCACAGTATATCAATTTCCATGACCAAAGTGGATTTTGTTAACTTTTACAAGCTTTGATACTTACAGCTGATGAGATAACTACTGTCTGCCCAACTTCAAGGCCATTAAGCCCAGCATGTATATTGATGGAATTTGTACAGAAAACAGCCAATAGCCCCATATATAGTTTATATATCCACCCTGCCTCATAAAACAAAGTCAAAATAGTGAATCTTTACGGTAATCACTAACTTCTCAAGTGTCATTTGCATAAAGGTACAGAAAGCTTACCAAGATCCAAAATCTCTATCCCAATGTGTGGGACAAGTGGCTTTGGTATAACTATAGTTGTGTGTCCAGCATATGCCATTAACAAAGGAAGTGCAGCAATTGATGGGAGTAGTAATTTTCTGTTCTTCACAATGACATTAAATCAGAAACGAGATTATTCTAAGATTAGTTAACAAGCACAAATCCAAGAAGAAAGTATAAAAACTTATACACTCACACTCTCCATGGGACATCAAGGACATCATCAACAAATCCTAGCAATGTCATGAAACAG